TCGGAGAGCGCTGTCGGGGCGCCCCGACGTGGCTGCGTCCCCCACGACTGCCTCTGTTTCCCCCGCGATAGTCACAGCCCCCATCGCGGTTCGTTTGCAATTCCGTAACAATCACGTTGTTCGGCGTCAAACACACATCCTCGATCCCCGTCGAAAGATCTGCAAACCAATCCGTGAAACGCACGTCTACCTCTTCAAATCGATAGTCAGTTTGTTGAAACCGATCGTTGAAGGTTGCATCACGTTGTTTGTTTGCGGCATCTTCTCGTCCCGGCGACATCGCGATCGTACTAACTGCTGATACCAACTGATGTAGGGAAAGCGTGAACGAACGGGAAAATACAAGGAGATACTCTCTCCAGAACACGGGATACTCTCTCAAAAGAAAACGATTAATTTTTCATTCTCCAATTCAACTCCCTCATAACAAAGCATAAGACCCTTTAAATAAAGCCCCTAAATTAAACCTAGCTTATTCTTCAAGCTACTAATTATTAAATAATAATAATAGTAATAATAATAATAATAATAATAATAATAATAATAATAATAATAATAATAATAATAATAATAATATTTATTATAATATCTGCATCAAAACCCCTACGCCCAACAAGCTGAAACGAGCTTGAGCTCGTGAATGAGCTCGAGCTGAAGTCATGCGCGGCTGCTTTTGATTTAACAGCTAGAATGGAGATAGCCTTGAGGTTTTGGGCGATTACAAGAAAATCCAGATAAAGGTACGGAGAGATTGGGTCGCCTTGTCGGACCGATCCTCTCCTTTCAGTCGAGGCTCACTTTGCTCTCCGCTTCGTTTCTGAAGTATGCACCTTCCCTCTCCCTATGGTCGTCAATTTCATCTTTCCTCACTTCGCTCTCCTCGAGTTTTCTAAAATGGAGAATGCGGTGAGCTCTTTAGTTGATAAGTATGCAGAACCCGGGTGGGGAAGTTGATTATGAAGTATTTGATTACAATCGCAAGTTCTTTTGGTGAGCTCTTTAGTTGATATGTATGCAGAATGCGGTGCTGTGGACGATGCACAAGAGGTGTTTGATAGTATGCCCAAAAGAGATTCCATTGTCTGGAGTTCCATCTTGGCCTTGCGCCAAAAGGCACTCGCTTGCCTTTATTTTACGACATGCAAAATTCTCAAGTCGTTTAGGAATTGAACCAAGAATTTGAGCATTATGTGTGTATTGTGGGCATGCTCGGCTAAGTAAGGTTAATTGATGAGGCCCACGAGTTTGTGAAAAGCACGTCGCCATAAAACCCAATGTCTCGGTTGGGATATTTCCGCACACCGCATGCGTTGTGTTGAGTTTCATATATACAAATGTGGAAGTTCGGGCGGAAGCTCTGAAGAATGAGATGAAAATTCTTGAGATTAATAAAAAAAATCCCTTAGATGGTGAGATTCCGAGTTTTTGGCCGTAGGGTCTTTGGGGATTTACTAAACGGTTGAGAATGTGTGGGAGAAGATCAAGCAGGCCGGTTATGAGCCTAGCAGAATGCAGTCGAGGCTTGAAGCCCATGAGGACGATAAAGAGGCTTATGTTTCTCATCTTATTGAGAAATTGATTATTGCTTTCGGGATTATTGGGTCCTGTCCAGAGGCTACGATCCGGATAGCAAAAGATCAACTAACATTTTTCGATTGTCATAATGCAAACAAACTTTATCTCTAAGGTGTTCGGGGGGAAATTGTATTTAGGGATAACAGTCGATTTTCTGACAATTTCAACATCTTAAAGACAAGTTATGTTCATGTGTGGTAATATTTGGTGATCCCAATCCCATGATTATTTTTAGCTTGAGGAGTCAAATCTTCGTCTTGCCATCGGTTATGTTGAAGCTGTCGATTTTCCAATTCAATTGTTTTTTTTTTTTAAAAAAAAATTCTGTTTTTTTTTCCTCACCAGTCACCACTCTTCCTTTTGTAGAAAAGTTCTGAACTTTGTTGTAGAGTATTTGTATAACATTAGTTGATGTAGAAATTCTCCTTACAAAATCGTCTAATTCTCTTAAAAACTCTTCCTTTTGTAGAAAAGTTTTGAACTTGTTGTAGAGTATTTGTGTGTAGAAATTCTTCGTTAATTCTCTAAAAGGCAGTGTAATTGTTATATATATACATATAGTTGTTTTGTGTAGAGTTACTATATGACACCAAAATTGTTATTGAATTGATAAATAAAACTTATTGTTATTAAATTGATAAATAAAACTTTTTAAATTGGTAAATAGTACTTTTTTTCTATATTGATCTCAGTTTAAGAAAATTGTTATAAAATAAATTTGAGTTCTTTAAAAAAGAGTAACAACTAAAATGATAAATGATTTGAGAAATAAAATAAGAAATGATAGGATGAATGAGGTGCAGTGAATTTTTGTAAGTTTATCATTCTCATGTGAATTTTTGTAAGTTTATCATTCTCATTCTCATGTGAATTTTTGTAAGTTTATCATTCTATGTGAATTTTTGTAAGTTTATCATTCTCATCATGTGCAACTGATAGTTTTTAGTTTCATTCACAGGTGGTGGTAGTCCGAATTTTATATTGCCATTCTTTTAGGCATGTACTTGATTTTTTTTATTTATTTTTTGTATACTGAATTGCGAATATTTATGAACAACACAGTATAATGTCAAAATTGCAAATTTACATATATTTGAAATAATTATATAGTAATTTAAATTTATAATGGAATAAGATTATATATAGTTTTCGGATTACATGTATTTTTATTTAAATTTTAAAGAATTTAAACACATCTTCTAAAACAGATATACATGTAATATTTAATGATATACTACTTCGTGTACAAGAAACAACTAGACTTATTTTGAAGATTTGAAAAGAATTAATCGAAGGAACAAAGATTTGTAATACACTATATTTCTCTTGTACTAGAAAAGAATTAATCCAAAGAGGATTAACATCGTCTCCATATACTAGAAAAGGAAAAAAAAAAAAAATTAATAATAATAACAACAAAGGCGCACTGAAAATATTGTCTATATATTCACTCTCAACCTATACATAAACTTGATCACCCATAATTCTTAACCAAGCCATCATGCTCGCACTTACAATAGTGGCACAACCAAATGCAACAAGACCCTTGTCCTTGACTACAACCTTAACAAAGTAAAATGCCACATCCGAAGTGATTTTGCTCCCTTCCTCGGCCAAAACCTTCCGACGCTTTCCGGAAAAGGCCAAGAGCACCAACACCGTTATCGAGGCCACGACCATTGTCCGAATAACAACAAAAATGACCAAAATCGCAAGGAGAAACGCCACGAGAAACGGCAAAATCGGAGCGTAATAGGCCGATAAATCGGTTGTTGACCGGTCAACAGTTGAGTGAACAAAAATGTACAAGAAAATGAAGAGGAAGAAAAGGCATGTTGTGGCTTTGGATGTTCTTGAGATGTGGTTCATTTGGGAAGGAAGAAAAGAGAGTGGAGTAATTATGAGTTGTTTTGATATCTGATTTTGATGATATATAGGATTGTGTCAAGACTTCAAAGTGTTGCACATGGCAAGGTTGGCAAAAGTTAGGAATATAACAAATACCAATTCCCTTCAATAATTTGAGTAGTACCTCTCTTGTAAATAATACTAATAATAATGGGATTATAATTATCACATTACTACCTCAAAATTTAGGAGATTTCTAAGGTCCCGTCTTCAATTTTAACTCCCACCTCTTATCCAATGATTTTGTGCCACTTGTTTCAAGCTATGCTGCATCTGACGGTGATCATTATTCATTTAATAATTATCACATTACTACCTTAAAATTTATTGGTACATTTAAAGGACGGAGAGTTAGGTATAAACATCTCTACTTCAATTTATTTTTACAAGTTCATTGAAAAGTTTTTAAATCTTGACACATTGGTATATTTAACTGATACTAAAAGCTAGAGTTAATTGTATTTAAAATCCTAACCTCTTGTGTAATTACAAATAAAACTCAACCTTTTCAATTTGGCAAAAAAATACCAAACATTTAACAAGTATTGCAATTGTGTCTCACCCGCCGGACCTACCGCCGGCCAACTTCGCCGGATGTTGAATTTTTTTACATGATCTTGTAGCTCTCCTCCGTTTCGACAACACATCCGAGTTTCACGAAAAAAAATCTGACGATAAGGCTTCCAATTTTCCGGTCAAAATCGTAGATCTTCAAATTTTCTCTGGCGTTCTTTCACAAATTCCCGGTGACTCGCTTTGACCCATGTGAATTCGAAGGTACCGTTGAACTCCGCTAGCAAAACCGCATCTAGTGACGTCCACCTTCGCCGGAACCGGTGACTTTTTCCGGTGCGACTTTTCCGGTCATCTGATTCAAGGTTTGGTATAGCCGGAAACTGATTTTGAGACACAATTGCAATACTTATTAAAGGTTTGATATTTCAAATTGAAAAAGTTGAATGTTATTTGCAATTACACAAAAGTTAAAAAGATTTTAAATGCAATTAACCCTAAAGTTTATGTAAACTTCCTTCTACTTTTTTGTGAAACAGGAGTATTACAGTTTTAATGAACAAGCGAAAATTATTTGCTAAGTTTTCACTATGGTGTTTTCGTATAAACATGATTATAAGCCTAAATGTAACTAGATTTTTGTGAGTCTTTAACAGCCATTCTTGTGCCTTAGAAAAAAGGTCAGCTTATGTGACCACATTGCAACGGGTACAAAGTGTTGTCACTGTTGAAAACTTGAAATACGGAAACATAAAATCCAGATAACGGTCCCTATATTACAAATAGTAACAGTCTTAACAGCTGTTTGAGTGAGAACACGAGAAAAAAGTGAACCAAAGATTAGACTTAGTTGTGGACCAATCACCGTCACTTGCAACTCTCACATTATTAAACAGACAGAATCTAATTACAAGGCTACCAAAACCAACAGCTTCCCAATGTCTTAAAAATTTAAAGACATACTGGAAATAAGACGGAAAGTCGTAATATACAAGAAAATTTTGACAAAAAAAAGTATCCTGCTACGTTGAGTTCATAATAATCTCTAAAGAATCTCAAAACCCCAGTCAATTATTAGACAACCCGCCAAAACCATCTTCGACAGGAACACAAAGAATACCACGAAGTCCAAAATTCGGACAACGAACGTCTGATTGTGGAGAATTACGAAAACTACCATTGTTGTTAATCTTATTTGCAGAAAAAAAGAACTACCAATGATGTTTTGGTGATCATCCAGGAAAAAAATAAATGAAAATGGGGATTAAATTATAGCTGCTGATTCAGATAAAAATCACCACCTGATTCACCTCCACCTCCCAAGTATTCCGAGATGGTCCCACTAATATTTGCAACGTAATATTTCAGACGAGAAGTGCTTCGGGTCAACAAACCAGCTTCTGCCTCATCCTGCAAAACTTGCTTCTTCTTCTCATCTTCCTCCCTTAGTATATCAACCCATCTTTTCGCCATGTAAGCCTTAATAGCTTCAACCCCTTGAGCCACGATCTCCTTTGGAGGCACCACAAGAGGGTTCTGATCGACATTGAGCTTGGTCAAACTCGAGAGCTGACCAAAAGTATCGGGCAGAGTGTGTATCTGATTGTTGCTCAAATCAAGTTCTTTGAGATTTATGAGGTCGGTGATTGTGTCAGGAAGCTTAGTCAGGTCATTGAAGTTGCTGCTGAGATTGAGAATCTCGAGATTGTTCAGTTTACCGATCGAGTTCGGAAGGCCATGGAGCTCGTTAAAATGGGCGTCCAAAATGCACAAGGATTTCATTTTGCCAATTGATGTGGGAAGTGAGCGGATCTTGTTAAGGCTGATTGATAGACGTTTGAGGTTTTTCATTTCATACCCAATGTTTGTTGGGAGGTATGTGAGCTTGTTGAAACTCGCGTCCAGCTCAACCAGTAACCTTGGATATCGGATGGGTTAAATTCGGTAAGAACATGAAATGGTGAAAAACTAAAAATATGGTATTAGTAATGATTTGGAAGTAGTTTTGAAGTTTGAGTTTTACCTGCATTGGGAAATACTGTCGGGTAGGGTAGTCAGCTTGTTTCGAGAGACATCCAAGATTTTCAGCTTAAACAGAAACCCAATGGAATCGGGCAGCGACTCCAAAAGATTTGACGAAAGGTTGAGCTCCTCAAGATTTTCTAGTCCGGCAATCGAA